AAATCCAGGTTTATATGGATTAAAAGTGGTCTTCAGGCGTGACAAATAGATAGGATATACCGGTAGCTGGGTCAGAACCAGCTTGTCACATTTTTGAGGACCAGACTGGCTGTTTTAGCCAACAATGGCATTGGGACTTGCGATACAAGAAGGAGAATGTGGAGCCTCAATCGTTTCTGGCAACACTAAAGATATCTCTCATCTGGTTGATTTTGCTATTTGGGATTGGTGTTGGTGCCTTTTGCCTAATCGCTCATCTAAAGATGGGAAGCAACTATGTTGTTGGCTTGGTCCAAGTTTTACTATTGGAGCAGCTCTTTGTTTTGCTGTTGCTATTGCCAATGGACAAGTACTACAACGATCGTCAGTGATTCCTTTATCAGCCGAAGAACAAAACAGTGAACCAATGGAAGAGAAGAAGAAAGAGTTTATGGAAGACCTGAAGAAGAATCTGAAGAAGAAGGCTGATGGAGTTTCTATCTCTGAAGAAGAACTTGATCGTATTTGGCATAAGTACAACATGCCGATCTCTGCAATCGAAGATGGTGGTTACCCGCAGTATTTTAGTTTATACTGATGATGTTATTGCAATCTCGGAGAATCCAAAAGCGATTATGGACAAACTCAACAATTTCTTTGTTTTAAAGCCTGACTCGATAAAAGAGCCAACCACATATCTTGGTACAACAATCTTGAAGCACAAGTTGGATGGTGATGATTATTTCACCTGGGCTATTGGATCTGAAGCGTATCTACAAGAGTCGTTAAGAGTTGTCAAGAAACAAATTGCGCCAATGCAACTGACTTTGAAGAAAAAGGTTTGCTCAACTTTACCCACTGGATACAAGCCGGAACTTGATTCTACTCCTTTTGTCGATGATGATACTGCTATTCTCTACATGCAACTCATCGGTATTCTGCGCTGGCTTGTGGAACTTGGGCGTATCGATGTCGCCGCCAAAGTGTCTATGCTCTTGTCTTACAACACAATGCCTCGTGAGGGTCACTTTCATGCTGCCTTACATATTTTTGCCTATTTACAGAAGCATCCTGATCGTGTACTTGTGATGGATTGTGGTTATGCTGATCATCTGAGACCATTAAAGAAAGCTGATTACTCACAGTTCTATGAATTCACTAAGGATGAACTCCCAAGTGACATGCCCACACCTCTTGGCAAAGCGGTAGACTTTACTATGTTTGTTGATGCATCTCATACTGCTAACGTTGTTACTCGTCAATTAAGAACAGGAGTATTGATCTTTGTTAACAAAGCTCCTATTATCTGGGATAGAAAAAATTATTTCAGAAACGAAACAACACGCAATCCGGCAGAACCAACCAGTCTGCCTTGCGTAGCGCTAGTACTGAATTTACGTAGAAAACTTCCGAATTTATCACCAAGCCAACCATTCAA